ATTAAATCTTTAAAATGTAGAGATATGGAAGACAATAGCCAAACACAATTAGTAGGTAGAGAATTGGTCAAAGAAACCTCAAATATGCCAGTTGACTTAGAAGAAAATAAAAATAAGAAAATAAAAACACATATTTAAAAACAATTATATAGGACATTTTAAAAACAGAGTTATACTTAAATTTACGCATTGAAAATATATCACATTTCAAGGGAAAATGGCTCAGAATAGAATATTGTATACTAACTAATTTCCTAGCTGTTTTTCAATAAGTATTTATTCATTCATTTTAAGCTTATTACGTTTTATTTGTGTGTACCACCATGCATACATGGAGGTTAAAGAATGGCTTATGGGAGTCAGTTCTCTCCTTCTACTATATAGGATCCCAGGGATTAAACTCAGGTCTTTAGGCTTGGCAGCTGATGCCTTTACCTGCTGAGCCATCTCACAGGCTTTGAATGAATGGATTTTATTTTTAAAGCATCTTTAGGTTCAAAATTTAAGTTTATCAAAATTGAGAGCAAAATACAGATGGTTCCTTTAACTCCTCCCAAACTCTCTCCACCGTATCTCCACCTGTTTGAACATTAGTTCCAAATGATGAACCAGCACTGACACATAATTTTCAACCAAAGCCCATGTTTGCTTTAGAGTTCCTGCTGTGTTGTATATCTTATGGGCTCTGGTAAATGTATGATAACATCTATGCACACCTTTCATGGCATACAGATATTTTTCTTTCCAGGAACATCTCTCTCATCTACGTATTCATCCTGTTTCCTAAGTCTCTGATTTTTCTCTCTTTCCACCATCTTGCCTTTCCTACAATACCATAGAGTTACAACGACATGATTTGTATGTAGTCTTTCAGGCTGGCTTCACTTAGTAAAATGCATTTAAGATTTCTCTATGTGACTTTCTGGCTTGATATCTCGTATTTGTTTTTTAGTGCTTAATTATGTCCTGTATATAAAATGTACCATATTTTACTGATTAATTCACCTATATTGTAGGATACGTTAGGTGCTTTTAACTTTGGATAATTATGAATAAAGCTTCCATAAACATGAATACAAGTTGTGTGGCCATAAGTTTTTTACCTCATTTGGGTAAATACAAAATAGTACAATTGTTGAGTCATACTGGTAAGATTAAGTTTAATTTTAAAAGGAGCTCCAAACTTCCAAATTGACTATACCACATTTCCATCTGTAATATGTGAGAGCTTTCTTGCTTTGTACTGTCACTGGGATTTGTTTTTACCAGTATTTTGTATTTGGTAATTTAAATGTGTCTAGTAGTATCTTAGTATGGTATTCATTTGAAATTCCCTAGTGATTGTACACGTAAGCATACACATACATACAAACACCAACATCAAGGAGCCATAGATACTTAATGATGCGGAGAAAGGCAGTATACTTATACAAGAGAGTTATGTTGTCACTAGGCAACATAAATTTATGGAATCACTACTGTATACACAATCTTTTTATTTTTTTATTTTTTGATACAGTTTTTTTCTGTGTAGCCGGGGCTGTCCTGGAACTTGCTCTGTAAACCAGGCTGGCCTTGAATACATAGAGGTCCACCTGCCTCTGTGTCCTGCATACAGGGCTTAAAGGTTTAAGCTGCCTCCATCACCACCACCTGGCTAATCAATCCATTCTTAACTGTTACATTATTAAGCTATATATGATGCATGATTGTATACATAAATGTTTATAGTGTTAGTGATCAAAGCCAGAGCCTCACATAGTAGGTATACTCTACCCTGAGTTCCTGAGTTCTATCTTCATGTCTTGCATGTGTGTGTGTGTATTCACACAAACTTAGACTATAAATACTTGTATGTATGTATGTATGTATGTATGTATGTATCTATCTATCTATCTATCTATCTATCTATCTACCTTCTATCATCTATTACCTAGTTGTATTCCTGGAGAGAAGACAAGATTTTGGAGAGACAGCTAGCATTCTCCCATACTTTCATTAATTAAAATCACTAAGACTATGCATTTTGCTCTAAGCAATGCTCCAGCCTTTTAGATTCTAGCATGAAGTTTTTCTTTTTACCATTTTTCTCCTCAAAATAATTGGTATCTATGGAGACCTGACTCACATAATCACAGCTATCTATTCTACAGCAAGAGTCTTTTAAAAACATCTTATATCAAAACCTAACAGTACTCACAATTTTCTTAGGACAAAGACCCTAAGCTAAGTTATAGATTCCCCACAGGGACTCAAAGGTAGATGGAAGGTCACAGGAACTTTGGCTCTTTAGGTAGGCTAAGTGTCCTGCTCTATTTTAAAAACAATCATTGAGAAGTTCCCCTAGTACTGAGCAGCTTTTGATCTTTCATATGTTTTGAGTCTTAATCACTTCCCCCAACAACTGTTTCTTGCTGCCTCTTTTCACTTTCCTACTTTGTTTTTCCCCTTCTTCTTCAACTCCTGCATGGTGTCTAAATTCTTTACTGCCACCTTCACAGATATCCTCTTTCTTGTCTACATATTCATCTTTATCCTCTCCAGAAGTTCTTCCTTACCATCCTATTATAAGATATTTTTCAGATGTCTTTTAATTTTGTTTTTTAAAAATACTCGGCATCCTTAGTCGTCAGGGAAATGCAAATCAAAACAACCCTGAGATTCCATCTCACACCAGTCAGAATGGCTAAGATTAAAAACTCAGGTGATAGTAGATGCTGGCGAGGGTGTGGAGAAAGAGGAACACTCCTCCATTGTTGGTGGGACTGCAAGATGGTGCAACCACTTTGGAAATCAGTGTGGCGGTTCCTCAGAAAATTGGACATAGCATTACCCGAGGATCCAGCTATACCACTCCTAGGCATATACCCAGAAGGTGCTCGAACATATAATAAGGACATATGCTCAACTATGTTCATAGCAGCCTTATTTATAATAGCCAGGAGCTGGAAAGAACCCAGATGTCCTTCAACTGAGGAATGGATTAAAAAAATGTGGTATATTTACACAATGGAGTATTACTCAGCTATTAAAAACAATGAATTTGAGAGGTTCCTAGGTAAATGGATGGAACTAGAAATTATCATACTGAGTGAGGTAAGCCAATCACAAAAGAACACACATGGTATTCACTCACTGATTATTGGATATTAGCCCAGAACCTTAAAATGCCCAAGATGCAACTCACAGGCCACATGAAGTCCATAAAGAATGAAGACCAAGTGGGGGTGATTCGGTCCTTCTTAGAAGGAGCAACAAAATACTCAAGGGAGCAAATATGGAGACAAAGCGAGGGACAAAAACTGAAGGAGGGGCCGTCTGAAGACCTTTCCACCTGAGTATCCATCCCATGTGCAGTCACCAAAGGTAGATGCTGATGTGGAAGTCAGGAAGTGCATGCTGATAAGAGCCTGATATGGATGTCTCCTCAGAGGTCTTCAAGAGTCTGACATATTCAGAGGCAGATGCTCACAACTAGCCATTGAAGTGATCATGGTGTTCTCAATGGAGGAGTTAGAGTGAAGACTGAAGGAGCTGAAAGGATTTGTGGCCCCATGAGGAGAGCAACAATACCAACCAACCACAGCTCCCAGGGTCTAAACCACCAGCCTGGGAGCACTTATGGAGGGATCCAGGGCCTTAGCTGAATATATAAGAGTGGAGGGCCCTGCTGGGCACAGGTGGAAGATGAGATCCTTGACCTCATGAAGGCTGGACGCCCCAGGGGGTGGGAGTTTTGAGGGTGGGGAGGTGGGAGTGGGGGGGTAGATAGAGGTTACATCCACAAAGAAGAAGGAGGAGGTGTGAGGGGATTGGGGGTTCCTGGGTGGGTGGGGGATGGGGTAAGGGGACAACATATGAAATGTAAATAAAACATCCAATAAAAAAATTAAAAAAAAATACTCATGTTTTTTTGATTCAGTTACTAACTCCTATTTTTTATTTAATTATCAAATAATTTTATTTTGCTTATATGTCTTAGAATATATTTAGACTTGTCTTATAATTAGTTCTGTAGCTATTAAAAGAAGCACACATAAAACGAAGACATGTTTTTGTTCTTAAGATGTAGCATATATTTTCAGGTATTGTTAAGTTTTTATGAAATTTTCTATAGTAGGTATGTTATAGGTCTTTTTATTTTGACTTTTGCCCTTGTTATTTATTTAAATGGTTGTCATAGATTGAAAATAAGTTAAATCTTGGCGGTTTATGTTCACTTCTAATTACTAAAATCTGTCAAAGATATTACATATGCATAAAAAGGAAACAACAGGCCAATAATCTCTAAATCCTATGAAACATAACTCATCCACATATTAAAATAATGACAGACCATAACCAAATAGGTTTTATTCTAGAAAAGCTATTTTGATTTAATTCTAGGAAATCTATTATTATAATTTAGTATACTCATAGTTTAAAAAGAAAAACAATTATTTCCTTAGAGTCTGGCAAAGCATATAATTCAACTCAATATCCATTGACTCAAAAAAAAAAAAAAAACTAAAACATGAACAAAATCTAAAAGCCAAACAAATTTACTAAAGAAACAGGAAGAATCTGTCTATTGACTTATAACAATTTTGATAATCACGAAATTTAGCAATATATAATATTTACTTTGAAGTCTACTGGTAAATTTGACTAAAGTAAAATCTAATGATGTAAGACTAATAACATCATGTTAGACAATAATGGCCTGTTTTTAAACTTAATATTATACTTTCTTAGAAACTAAGTATTATTCTCACTACTTGTATGAAGTAAAAATTCTAACATACACTATGGAAAAATTCTAAAAGAATTATTTTACTGGTTATGAAGTACAGTGCAAATTTCTGGTAGCCATAGTTTCTAGTGACTTTATTATTCAGATCATAAACTCCTATTTGTGGTACTAGGGATTAAACTTAGTAGGACCTCATGCACACTAGACAAACACTGTACTAAATAAATTCACTTTGTAAATGTGTTAGCAAATCCACTTCTCATTGTACCTGTTTGTTTCAGGAGATTCCAAACACTTTTGCATTTCTGGATTTGCTTAAGTGCGGTTCTTAGTAACTTGTTCTATATGGAAAAAAAGAGATAATTACGCTAAGCTAAAAGAACTTTAAGCAAATTAATATTTCAAATTTCATTCATTAAAAGTTAATAGAAAAATAAAATAATAATTGCTTAGCCAAACATTTTGCAATTAGTATAGAAACACTAGCTTCTAAATGTTCTCTTCCTTATTGTACCAAGAAAGTGAGAATTAATAGAAAACCTTGACCCTTACCAATTTCTTTAATAATATAGAAACATATTTCCCCCTGGATAAGAGTATGACGATCTCTATAAACTCTTCCAAACAAAACAGACATAACTGATACAATTATAACATATAATCTTGCAGGGCTGTGAGTAAAGCAGTATATGTTAAGAGTTTGCTGATATAAAGCACTGGTTCCATGCCCAGAAACTTTCCTCTCTCTCCTCCCAATAAAACCAAACAAAATGCAATCACATAAAGTAATAGAAAATTGTCCAGAGGGTATGTTTTTCTTTGCTCCCAGAGACCTACTAAGTATCAGTAAGAGCAGTGAAAGCCTATACATGTTTAAGTAAACACTCATGTCACTGTGGTGTAAGCACTGCTTTAATCAGATGTGGCCAAGTTTATATAGGCTGGGATTCCTAGGAGGTCCATGACTGCTGGACCTCCCCATCACCAGCTCTGTATTGTAAATGTTCTAATATGAACAAGTATAAGTGAGAGGCCTGGTATTCTCCTCTACTGAGACTGTATTTATAGGACAAGTGCAAGGCAAGTTCAAAGTACTTGGTGTCAACTGTTCTAATGTCAGTTAGCATACAGGACAGTTACCCATGCCAAGAGACACAAGGCAAAATATCAAGGACCACAAGTCTTGCTTAGTCTTCTACTCAGAGATGAATATCTGATATAAACCAACCACTACTATCCTTGCCTCCATATCTAAAACAGTGGTTAGGATGAAGCCTGATCCCCTTAAACCACACTGTGGAGTGAGCATTGAGCCATTATACTTGGGGAAACTAGAGCTCAATGAACTAAGCTAGTGAAATTTACCAAAAATTACAAAATGTAAACAAGACAGAATAGTAGTTAAGAACATTTGCTGGTTTTGCAGAGGACCTGGGTTTGATTCTCAGCACTCATAGAGCTGCTTAGAACTGTCTGTAATTTCAGTTCTTATTTCTGGTCTCCAAGACCACCAGGCAAGTATGTCAACCACATGCAGGCAAACATATGCATAAAAAAATAGAAATGACTTTGTAAAGGCCCAGATGTTAAACTTAGAAGACATACATTTCAAAACAGCTATTTTAATACATAATTAAATAACTAAAGGAATCCACACTTAAAGAAGGAATGTATAAGAATGTTCAACAAATATATCTCTATTAACAAAGTCATACAAATAAAAGATAAATAAAAAATTCTAGAATTAAAAAGACAATGAAAGAGAAAGTAAGCAATCAGGAATAAAAGACACACGAGATGTCTGAGCTGGAGCTAGGACCCAGTGGTTAAGAGCACTTGGTACTCTTGCAGAGGACCCAGGTCTGGTTTCCAGCACACGTATCAGGTATCTCACTACCACCTTAATACAATTCCAGAAGGTCTAATGCCCTCTTTTGCCCTTTGTGGACACTTGCACACACATACAGGTAAGCAGGCACATACATGTGTGTGCACACATGTGTACACACACACACACAAATTAAGGAAAAGATATGTGAGATCTATAGAAGACAAAAGATAAAATGGCAGTTTAACTATGAAATAATAGTAATTGTCAGTGTATTAAAACTATGTATCAAGAGACAGGATGCCACACTAGTTTAAAATATAGTTTAAATTCTGTCTAGAGGAGATGAGCTCTGTATCTAAAGACACAGACTGAAAATAAAGGGATGAAAAAGGTTATGAGTTAAATATTTCAATACCTCTATAAACAATAGAACTAGGAAGAAAACAAGACACCTTTAGTCATGGGAAAACCTTGCTTTCCAATTCCACCACTGATCTAGACTACATTACTCTTCCACTGTTCACCTGGAGCACTGTCAGTCGCTTTGATTGATCTTTAAGCATTAGAGTCTCATTTTTCTACCGGGCCCGCGTGGATGGCGGGATGGTCTGTGAAATGCCCAGCCTTGCAGAGACGGTGTGGAAGATTGGCAGAGCCATCTCCTCAACGCTGACATCTCATGGGTGGTAGGGCTGATGTTTCTGGCTGGCAGTTTCTAGCTGCTGCACATGGAACATGGCGGCTGAGGTAGGCAGAGCCACCGCAGCTTAGATAGTCGGCTTGACCAGAGGCCGTTTTTAAATAATTACCGCAACAAAGTGGCTTTCATGTCCTTCTTAGAGACAGTTTAAGTTTGTACCCATTGTCTACTTCAATGAGTTTCTTACAGTCAGTGGATTCATCTTGACAGGGGCAATGGCCTAGAAGGTGCCATGAAGAAGAGCTTTTATTTTTTTCTTGATTTCCTCAATGACTCATTTGTCATTCAGTATTGTGTTGCTTCATTTCTGTGAGTTCGTGAATGCTCTATAGTTCTTTTGCTGTTGATTTGTAATTTTATTTCACTAATGAGATTCAATAGGAGAAATTATTTTAGTGGTCCTCTATGTGTTAAGATTTGCTTTTTATATTCTTATATGTTCTGTTTTAGATAAAGTTCCAGGACCTGCAGAGAAGAATGTATACTCTGCATTGGATTGAATGTTTGGATGAAATGTGCTGTATAGTTAGCTTCCTTGGGTCTATGGATCATAGCATGGTTATACTGTTCTTTAAGGCTAACGTCCACTTATAAGTGAGTACAAACCATTTTTGTCTTTCTAGGTCTGGATTACATCATTCAGGATGATCTTTTCTAGTTCCATCTATTTGCCTGCAAATTTGCCTACAAATCATGATGTCCTTGTTTTAAATAACTGAATAATATTCCATCATTAACTCTTTAAAATCAAACGGAAAGCGATAACCATGTGACTAGGTACAACTTTCTTTGATTTGAAAGAAAAATGAAGAATTGAAGGTGTATGAGAGATGACAATGCTAGTAGCTTTCAAAGAGGTAGATTTAAGAAAAGTGGAGGCAGTGTGATGGCTAATATCTACAATCTCAGAAAGGCTGAGGCAGAAGCACTCCCATGAATTGGGAGGCCAGTATGGTCTACAATTTGAAACCTTATCTCAAAAAAGCCTACTGAAAGGAGTTGAGAGTGGAATTCAGGCAAAGGTAAGGGATTCTGTCTTGTTAGACATGAGATGCTGACTTACTAAAGCAAATGCAACTGAGTAAAAAAAGCAAGCTGAGTAAATCAGTTCATCTGACTATTAGAACTCAAGAAATAGATAAGCCTTTCCATAGCAAATGTGTTAAAGGAAACAAACGTGGAAGAAACATTTTGATGGATTATATATAACCAAAGAGGGACAAGATAATGAAGATAAATATTAATAATATATTAGGAAATTCTAGGCCATGGTAAGGGACATCTAAAAAGAAGAGGCTAAGCCAAATATAGTGACATTTGCTTAGGAAGGGATTAACCATTATAAACCTTTGAAATGAAGATTCTTCCAGAATGAAGGAAAAATATTTTCTAAGGGGAATAAAAATAAATGTGTCAGAAAAAAGAAATAGACCAAAGAGCACACTTAACCCTCATCTGGTCTTTGAAGATTGCACATTACCTGTTCAGAAGCTGTTGTAGCTTTTCTTCCTTGCTGTAGATCAACTGCAGCTGCTACAAGTAAACATGTTTTCTGTGCAATCAGTAGTCCTTGATCCGAAGGACAAAAAAGGGACAGCTGATAAGAAATAACCAGAACATCAATGAATAGTGAGAATGCTGTCAGGTGAACACAATCAGAATGAAAATCAGCAACATCTTGTCTGAATGAGAAAATGCTGCTGGGAAACCACATGTTGCCATAAAAATGATATAGACTATCACCCTGATTTACAGTTTTAATTTTATATTACTTTTCATTGTTTTTAGCACCTTCCTAGATATAAAAAGCTTCTCTTCTTCAGTTTTCTTTCTCAATGACAAGTACTGTCATTTGGCCCTGAATGCCTATCTAGCAATTTACTCCTTGGGTGACGCTGTCATTTATGGGTGATTTTCCCCCTGGGAAGTAGTTTTCCCTTTATACTGAACAGAGCCCAAATCAGTACTTAAATTGTTATGCTTGAAGGGGACAATGTCAAATCTTGGCAGGCATTAAGCATAACCTCATCATTAACCCTTGTCCTCTAGGTTTAGGAAATACTTGGAGCTTTGTACTATAATAAAACTCTAAGCCACTTTGATTTCTACATGTCAGTCTTACACATGCATTATCACAAATGTCAAAACTAAAATGGACTTATCTCATCTAATTAAAACTGCATTTATACATAAACTTGCAGACATTTTATTTTACTAGTACTGGTGATTGAGCCCAGGACCTTGTGCATGCTAGATAGGTATTCCACCCCTGAATTACATCTCTAGCCCTCCAAAGACTTTCTTAATCTCTACAAACATTTATGGATAACAATCATGTCCTTCATGGAATTATTAACATTTTAAATTGTCCAATCTCTTTAGGTCTTAGGTTACTTAAGGTTAGGAAACTGTTTCCAGCTTTAACTGCTGAACATTTAATTGGCCTCAATATGTCAGATTCTGATACTTCCAAATGTAGTGAGGTATATTCTGTAACCCTCTGCTTCCATTCCCCCATTGGCACTTGAACCACTTTCTAGCTTTTTTAATGTCGACTTTGGAAGCTGTTATGGTTTGTATATGCTGGGCCCAGGGAGTGGCACTTTTAGAAGGTGTGACCCTGCTGGAGTAGGTGTGTCACTATGTGTGGGCTTTAAGACCCTCATCTAGCTGCCTGGAAGTCAGTATTCTGCCAGTAGCCTTCAGGTGAAGATGTAGAACTCTCAGCTCTTCCTGTACCATGTCTGCCTGGATGGTGCCATGTTCCTGTCTTGATGATAATGAACTGAACCTCTGAACCTGTAAGCCAGCCCCAATTAAATGTTGTCCTTTATAAGAGCTGCCTTAGTCATGGTATCTGTTCACAGCAGTAAAACCCTAACTAAGACAGAGGCAAATGACTATTTTTTAAATGCTTAAAGGTGAATAATAACAAATTCACAAATTCTTACATACAGAACCTGTTCTAGGAAATTTAATAAAGAAGGCTCAAACTTCTTATCTCCTTTTTCGATCCTTGCTGTTCACAGGTACTTATGCTACATTTCTGCACACTTATTTGTGTGAACTTTCCTAATGTGTGGTAGCTCGTAACATTGGAGCACACCCATTCTAAAGATACTTATGTTTTAACATGGGACTCTTTAACTCCAGATCCCTTCAAAGGCAAAGGAATAGTTCTGTACTAGTAGAACTCTATATTGTAATGGTAGACTCTATAATGAACAGTTTTTTCTTTTCTTTTTTTTTAAATTATTATTTATTCACTTTACATCCCACTCACTAGCCCTTTCTGGCCACCCCCTCCCACAATCCTTCCTCCCATCTTCCTTCCCCTTCTCCTCTGAGAGGGTGAGATCCCAGGGTGTCCCCTGACCCTGGTGCATCAAGTCTCTGCCAGATATGACTCATCCTTTCCCACTGAGGCAGGACAAGGCAGCCTGGCTAGAAGGCCATATCCCACATACAGGTAACAGCTTTTGGGATAGGCCCCACTTCATTTGCTTAGGACCCACATGAAGACCAAGCTTCACATCTACTACATATGTTGGGAGCAGGCCACATCCAGTTCATTATGTTCTTTGGTTGGTAGCTTAGTCTATAAGAGCCCCAAGGGTCCAGGTTACTTGACTCTGTTGGTTTTCCTGTGGAGTTCCTATCCCCTTCAGGACCCACAATCCATCCATCCCCCTATTCTTCCATAGAGTATATAATGAATATTTGTGATGAAATTTACCTTATAAGAAACCATGAAAAAGTTTTTCATTGCTTCTAGATCCTTCTGAGATTGCAGAGCTAAGTTCCAAGCTGAAAGTTAACATGAAATAATATAATTGTGGAAAATCAACTGTTTAGTCTGTACCACCATAATCTCTGTCAACATTTTTAATGCTAATATGCTGATAAGGGGGTTCTTGGGATTAAGTATATTTTAATTTAAAATTTTAAATGTAAAATTAATTTAAAAAGAAATTAAACAAGTCAATAAAGTATTTTGTTTTTGAAAAAAGAAACTGATTTTATGTTTGTGAGGAAACTTTTTGCCAAGAAATTTAGTGATTCCCAGCACTTCTGATTGTCCATTCTAAGTAGATAACACACGAGGAACTGTTTAATTTTTTAAAGTTTGAGATGTACAAAAAGAATCCTCAGTACTATCTACCTGTCTATCCATCCATCCGTAATAATAACAATTAAAGAAAGTGGACATGAATTTGAAAGGGCATGAGATGTTTGTGAGACAAGGGATAGGAGAAGCTGGAGGGAGAAAAGGCTGGGGGAAATTATGTAATTATATTTTCATTTAAAAATACAGAAAAAAGGAGAGTCACCAAGTGGCAACTGAAAGTCACCAACTCATCAACTGAAAGTGGTAAAAGGGAGATAAACTTTAGGAAAGATCAGAATATACTAACATCAATGGATATTTCTGGAACATTTTCTGTCTTCCAAAGGTTAGTAGAAGCCCCAACTATGTAAACCAATGTGAATGAGAAAATGCCTCCATCTTTCCAAACCTTCAAAATGTCAGAGTCATTAAATCTTTCTATATTTAAAACTGTTCATTTTCCAAATTTCTTAGAATTCACATTATTTATGCCCTTTTGCCTAGATAAAAACCTCAAGAAATAATTCCATAAAACAGGAACATGTTCAAGTAGAACCAGTCCAAACTGTGATAGTGTTAATTAATAGTTCTTAACTACCTCCATAATTTTATACCACTTAGAAAATGGCACAATTCATAACTGTGTCACTTGATGAATAAATGACAAAATAAACATATATACACATGAAGAAAGATTTTGGCCATTATCAGAAAACTGCAAATTTCTTTCACATTCAGGCTCTCTTCTAAATATTACCTTAGCTTCTTTTCTTAATGTTATTTTCATGCTATTTAAATGCTAAAATCATAGCAACTTCTCCACACATGAAAATAATGCACTTTGATTACATTTACTCTCTCTGGGTTTCTTACCTCTTAAACAGATCACTATTTTGATTTCTAACACAAAATCAGGTTTGTGGGATTTTTTAAAGTTTTATTTATTTTATGTATGTGAGTACACTGTCACTGTTCTCAGACACACCAGAAGAGGGCAGCAGATCAAATTGCTGTGGTTGGGAGCTACCATGTGGTTGCTGGGAATTGAACTCAGGACCTCTGGAAGAGCAGTCAGTGCTCTTAACAACTGAGCCATCTCTCCAGCCCCAGGTTTGTGTTTTTTAACCGGTGTATAAATTGGATCATGCATTCTGTACTCTTTAATGTCTGGCTGTTTTTGTTCAACAGTATGTTTCTGAGATGTACCCATATTATTGTGTGTAGTATATTTTTGGTGGGTCACATCAAGGAATATATTCAACTTTCTAGAGGAGGTTTAAGAAAATAATTTGTGAAACTAAAGGTATAATTAATCATTTTGTTTTTGACCACTCTCCATAGAAAAGGAAAAAAATAAGCAAAGAATACTTTATTATGTGTGAAATACATACACTGTATGATATGAAATCTTTAAAAAATGATCCCACATAAGAGATGTAAACATTTCTAGTTTCTATACAAGGAAACTAAGATTAAGCAAATTATACATATATACCATAGCTTCAAAAGAAAGAGACATAATTTATTATATTAGAAAAACTTCTATAACACATATTTTTTTTTACCTATTTTCCTGAACCAATTGGCATCATTAACCATAGAATCCACAGTTGAGCGAGTTTCATTAAAATGTTCAGAAAATTTCAGGAGTGCTGTATCAAATAGGAAAATAGGATATTTATCTTAATATGCTAGCAAAGTTTTTAATCATCCTTTAAAACCTGAATCTAGAAAGTTTATTTCTGTGCATATGTATACGGTAGCATATCAAAATAATCCAAATGAGGAAAAAGAACTACTAAGCTCCATGAAGGCATTAACTCAAACTTTAAGGGAACAAATATATTCTTAGAGAGAATTATAAATGTAATTATTACAATTATTCACTACTTGAGGCACATGCAAGGAGATAAAGAATGGGAATAATAATTAAAACACCAAAATAATTCTTAGTATGGTTGAATCCCCGGGGTTCAATCTCTAGCACCAAACAAAACACCCTAAAATAATCATAGTATCAGTAGAATGGCATAATATTTACTTAGCTTCCACAGTAAGTATAATGTAGAACCAGAACATGCCATCATCACCAGAAAGCATTTATTACTTACCACATGCTCTTCTCAGAAAAAGAATACCAACCAGCAAAGTTTTCATTTGAAAAGCTTCGTCTTTAAGCCATCTTGCTATGTTTATAATCTGTATTTGAGGTATAAAATTCAACTATTGCCAAACTTAAGGTTTCTAAGGTATGGATGTTTGGATGTTGTTAGAAATGAAAATACCCTTTGAAAAAATGGGACACCATCAAAGAAAGCACAGTGCTGGTAAAAAAAAGAATGTGATGTTGCTAGACACTAGTTTAAGGAAGTCAACAGGAAAGATTACAAGTAGAAAACAGGAGAAGACACAAACTTTTGTAAATAAGTATAATAAAAGAACAAGCAATGCAAGCTAGATGAAGAGGTCACATAAAACCAGCAGGGTTTAGAGAATTTTGTTTGTTCTGAATTAATTTTTGCATGTGTAATCATAGGACAGAAAATTATAAGAGAGGGAAGGAGAAAAGGAAGAGAGAAAGAATGAATGAAAAGAAAGAAAGAGGAAGGAAAGAGGGAGGGAAAGAGCATTAGGAAGGGAAGTGTCTTTGAAACAAATTTAGATAAAAATGGAGCTGAAATCACATTTAGAAGTAGATGCTAGTGATGCCAAACACTTCCCTTCTTGTGCATGAAGAACCTGAAATAGATCTCTGTGGTAAACATTAATAAAGTGTATGAAATTTAAGTAAAATATCAGATTAGAGTCAGTATGTTCGATATATTTAGAGAATTCAACAGAGGATAGATGCAACATGAAGGACTAAAAATAAGCAAGAACATAATTACCTGCATTCAAGTAGTTCAAAAGTCTATCCATTTCTTTCTTTCTAAAAATTAAAGAAGAAGGAATTTTTAAATTGTTCTAAACATTTACTGTAGAAATATCACCGGGAAAAAAAAACCTATTTGTGTCTGAGAATTGGGCTAAAAATGCAAAATGTACAGTTTCTAGTTCAGTGAGAAGTACTTAAAGAAATGTTTAACATCCTTAGTCATCACGGAAATGCAAATTAAGTAAAATCTATAGAAGTCTAATGTGTAAGAAAAAGCAAGGTGTGGCTCAGTTGTAGTGCCTCACATGAGATGCTTTAGAGTCTGTCTCCAGCTTTGAAAACCAATGGAGGTGCTCTGAGTGAAGCAAGAGTAGATGGTGGCCTAGAATCTCATCTCTAAGGAAGCACCACATAATTTTTAGCATTCTGAGGAAACCCATCTTTAAAAAAAAACATTTATCTAATACAAACTTCTTATTTTACACTTAAGGAAACATACCTCATGGCAGAGAATGGTTTCTATAAGGTGACAGTGGCAAAGACAAGTCAACTATATTGATCTTTTAATTTCCAATCAAGTTTGTTTAAGGGATTAACAATTTTTTAGCAAAGCTTCTGCCTTCCCATTCTATTTTTAGGAGACTGAAAGTTGACATTCTGACTTAACAAGTAAAAATCTGAACAGACTGAAAAATCAACAGCTCTTCTTGAATCCATAACAGTAGTGAGGAAGAAGATCAAGCTACTGCCAAGAAGACTGAATTCAGGTAGGACAGGTAAATACAGTGAGATGCAGAGCAGAGACCTTTGGAACAAATGCTTTAGTGAGAACAACTGGACTACGGTTGACAAATCACTGGATACTTATCTTGAAAAAGTCTTACAGGTAAAAACTCCAAGGTGACCCATTATAAGGAGACCTCAACACTTTTACAAAATTCAGCAAGGTAGCTTAGCCAGGTATTCACAGTAGGCATTGGAAAACAGGCAGGGATGGAGAAAAGAAATTGTTTTGAAATATTCTATAATACTATATTCTTTAAAATATTTATTTTGTGTGAATGAGTATTATGCTTACATATATTCATATGTATCATATGTTTGCCTAGTGCCCATGGAGGGTAGATGAGAGTGTCAGATCCCCTGGAACTGGAGTTACAGATGGTTGCAAACCACCATGTGGGCACTGGGAACCAAATTCAGGTGCTCTAAAAGTATACCATATCTCTTAACTGTTGAGCTACTGCTCCAGCCCCTATGTCCTTTATAAAAAGTATTTTTATTATTATATATGGATACACATGCCACAGTGAATGTCTGAAGATTAGAGGACAGCATTGCGGAGTTAGTTCTATACTTTCCTCTTAATCCAAAAATCAAACTCAGGTTGCCAGACTTGCTTAGCAATTGCTGTTACCAGCTGAACCATCTTCTCAGCTCAACATTATGTTCCTTTAAAGTAAGGTTTGACCTCTAAACAAACTACCAGAGTTCAACTTCAACCCTCTAGTGTATTTCCAGAGCTTAATTCCATGGAAATAGCTGAAACCAGTTCACTTAAGTCACCCTGACTGTATAAAAGGGGAGGGGAAACTAGGGCAATTTCCCTCCCATATAACTCACCATCACATAACTAAAAAGCCTATTTGTAGCATTTCTTTTAACCTGGTATATCATATCTTTCTCTTGAGGAAATAGGAAAATCATACTAAAAGGCAAAAAATAATTGGAAGACACAAAACCAGTATTAGACAGACATGGCAGACATAATATATGATTAGAGTGGGAGAACTCGTGCATACGTGCATGAGGGTGTGTGTGCACACATGTATGCATGTATGCGTGTATGCACGTGTGCACACTTCTCTGTGTGTACACGTGGAAACCAGGAGACGAAACAACCTCAGCTGTCATGTTTCTGCTATTATTCACCTTCTTTTTTTTTCTTTTAAAAAGAAAAGGTAGTGTCTCTCATTGGCATGCAATTTGCCAAGTAAACTACATCAGATGGGCCATCAAATCTCAGAGGTCTGCTGATTTCCACCAACCTAGTGCTAGGAATACAAATATACCAGACATTTCAAACTGGGAATTTAAATTAATATGATACGAAGTCTAACAGATGAAATAATATGCAAGCTGTGATCATTATTCTTGATTATCAATTTGACTATATCTGGAATTGACTAAAGCCCAGATAACTGGGCACACATATGAGGGATTATTTTCTTAAGTCATTTGAAGTAGGAAGATCCACTTCTAAGTCAGATCTTAGAAGTGGAAAGATAAAGCTTTAATCTAGATCTTTTGAGGTGAGAAGACTCACCTCTAATATGGGCCACACCATCTGCTGGAAGCCTATATAAAGGACACGGGAGAAGAAAGTTTCTTTGCCTGCTGTTCTTGCCCTCACTAGCAAGTGCATTCCTTCACTGGCATTAGAGCCCACTTCTTCAGGGATCCCAGCATATACTGAAGAACAGCTGAGACATCCAGCCTCTTCGACTGAACAACTACTAGGTTCTGGATTTTTGGATTAATAACCAATCCTTATTGGATTAGCTAGATCACTAATAAACTCTCTCTCTCTCTCTCTCTCTCTCTCTCTCTGTGTGTGTGTGTGTGTGTGTGTGTGTGTGATTGGTAGGGGGAGAGAGAAATACTAGCAGATTTACTCTAGAGAACCATGACTAATATACAAGCATATATGGGCAATACAAAAAGAGTCAAAATAAAATAATTCTAAGAAAGAACCAAAAAGAAATGCTGGGATTTCAAAACATTAGCAGACATAAACATCCCTGTGATAGTCTTGTTAGCAGACCAGACACAGCTGAAAGGGTTTATATCAAGAAAAAAAATTCAAATACCTCAAACCAAAGAGAATAATGACAAAAAAATCCAAAAACTGTAGAACAACTTTAAACAGTGAAATGTGTAATGGTAACAACTGGAAAAAGAGAGATCAAAACAGAAGAAATATGCAAAATCTTAATGGCTGAAATACCCTCACAATTAACTTGATGTATCAAATCAAAGATCACCAAACAGAATTCCTACAATCTCCTTTGAGAATATACTCCCAGTGATCAAAGGACTTCCAACTAGGCCCTGCTTCTTTAAAGTGTCACAAAATTTCTCAATACTGCCTTCCTGTGATGTGAGCCAAGCCTTGAATCATAATGGACCCTTGGAAGACCTCAACCTATGTCCAAATGGCACAGAAAACCTCAAAAAAAGAAGAAAAGAAAAAGATGGTGGAGTGGAATATTAAAAATATTTATCACTCTCTACAAAACTCAAGTCTAAGTGGATCAAAGACCTCAACATAAAAATGAATATACTACATTTTATAGAAGAGAAAGTGGGAAATAATAGCCTTTGTATCCCTTGGTATGGTAGACAATTTCCTGAACAGAACATCAGTGGCTCAGGATCTAATATCAATAATTGATAAATAGGACCTCATGAAACTGAAAACATTCTGTAATGCAAAAGACACTGTCAATAGGACAAAAGAACAGCCTACAGGTTGGGAGAAGATCTTCACAAACCCTACATTCAACAGAGGGCTAATATCCAAAATATATGAAAAACACAAGAAGTTAGTCTCCAACAACCACCCCCCCAAAAAAAAAAACAATTTAAAAATGGGGTACAGAGCAAAACAGAGAATTCTCAACTGAGAAAATGGCCAAGAAGCACGTAAAGAAATGTTCAACATCCTTAGTCATCACAGAAATGCAAATCAAAATGACTGAGATTCACCTTACAGCAATCAGAATGGCTAAGATCAAACACCCAAGTGACAGTACGTGTTGGCGAGGATGTGGAGAAAGGGGAACATTCTCCCATAGCTGGTGGGATTGCAAACTGGTACAACTACTCTGAAAATCAATCTGACAGTTTCTCTAAAAACTGGAAATAGACCCAGCTACACCACTCCTGGGCATATACCCAAAAGATGCTCTACCATACCACAGAGACAAGTGCTCTACTATATTCATAGCAGCTTTATTCACTATAGCCAGAAATTGGAAACAACCCAGATCTCCCTTAAGAATAGATACAAAAAATGTGGTACATCTACACAACTGGATACTATTCAACTATTAAAAACAAGGACATCATGAATTTTGCAGGCAAATGGATGGAACTAGAAAATATCATCCTGACTGAGGTAACCCAAAATGACATGCATGGTGTATGCTCATTGATAAGTGGATATTAGTCATAAAGTACAGGATACCCATGCTATATACTCCATAGGTCCAAAGACGCTAAACAAGAAGGAAGGTCCAAGCAAAGATGCTTAAATCTCACTTTAAAGGGGGGAATAAAGTAGTCATAGGATGTAGATGGAGGGAGGAAACTGGGTGGGAGAGGAGATGGGTGTGGGGCGATGGGCTGTGAGAGGCAGTGGGGTACCCAGTTGAGTCCGCTTCTAGCCCTGGAGACCCTAAAGGGAATCTACCATATAGCCCAGTTATACCACTCCTTGGCCTATGTCCAAAGGACTCAACAGTCTACTCCACAGGTACTTGTTCGGCCATGTTTATTGCTGTTATATTTAGAATAAGAAGCAAACAAAAACAATGCCAAGATCCTTCAACCAATGAATGGATAATGAATGCGAAGATCACACACACTGTGGGATAATATTCTGCTGTAAAGAAAATGAATCATAAACTTTGTAGGTAATGGATAGAGCTAGTGAAGATCATATGAAGTGAGATAAACCAGATCCAGAACACATCAAAACAATTATCCATCATGATCAAGTAGGCTTTATCCCAGGAATGCAGGGATGGTTCAATATTCAGAAATCCATCAATGTAATTCACTATATAAACAAACTCAAAGATAAAAACCACATGATTATATCACTAGATGCTGAGAAAGCATTTGACAAAATTCAACATCCCTTCATGATAAAAGTCTTGGAAAGATCAGGAATTCAAGACCCCTACCTAAACATAGTAAAAGCAATTTACAGCAAACCAGTAGCCAACATCAAGCTAAATGGAGAGAAACTTGAAGCAATCCCACTAAGA